TCTAGTCTCCCTCCTTTTTTATTTGCTGCTAGATCCTCAACACCTTCAGAGTAGCCATGAAGACCCAAATGCTAGCTGAAAATTATTTGTATATTCCAATTTGTTGGGCATATTTCAAATTTTCTCTATGTCCTTTTACATTTGTTAACATTGATGAGCTTTACATATAAATAACTGACAAGGGTCAGAATCATAAGTATAGTTTTTAGGCAAATGTTTGAAGTATCCAGCCTGTAATCAAATCTCATAGATATTTGTTGAGTGAATAAAAGGATAAATGTATTTCACGGCCCGAATCATTGTGAATCCAAACCAGTCCCTGACAAGGGAAAAGGAACAAATATCACAACCTCTCACTTTCATCCAAGGGGAAATTACCAGAATATTATGACCATAATGGGTGATGACCCCATTATAGGGAAATCTATCTATCCCTCAAGAACCTCACTTTATAATTACACAAAGACTCAAGCAAAAACTTTGAAATTAAATTGTTTTAATTCATATATGTCTTATTTTTCCTACATGGCTAAAATTTGGGAGAGCACAATATAAATAAGAGGCAATTGGGGTATCCAATTTCCTGCTATACAAGGAGAATCCTATTCTTGCAATCTCCAAAACACTCGGTGGAAGGAAATTTGAACTTCCAGATAAAATTATCTATTCAGATCTCAGAAACCCATCTTGTATTTTGATATATTCTTGTACTGGACAGTATTGTGTCCTCTCTTCTCACTCCTCCCAAAAAGATAGAAGTCCTAACTCTCAATACCTAGGAAGGTGACCTTACTTGGAAACGGGGTTTTTGTACATGTAATCAGGTGACATGAGGTATCCTAGATTAGAGTGTGCCCTAATTCAATGACCAGCATTCTTGAAAGAAGAGAGAAATATGGATACAGACAAAAAACACAACACACAAGGGTAATACCATGTGTCAACAGAGGCACAGACTGAGTGATGTGCTTATAAGCCAAGAAATGCCAAGGTCTGCCGGCAACTGCCAGGAGATGGGAAGAGACATAATTCTTTCCCTAGTGCCTTCAGAAAGAAGATCTTCCTTATTGCCTTCCATACCAACTCCCTCTATCTTTAGGCTTCAACTGTGGTGGGTTTGTTCTACTAAGAACTTCCACGAGATTTTATATTCCAAATAAAGTTTTGCCAAATTTCTTCTGGCACCAAAACTAAGTTTATAATAATCAGGTTTCTTGTCCACCCAGATTCTTAGCACTTCTGTAATTGGAAACCTTCATGTTTTCAGTCTAGCATTCTTTCTGTCCAGCCTGTAGCAATAGTTCAGAGCTGTAACATATAAAATCCACAAAAACCTACTTCTCTCCTTTCTGTTCATCTTCCTGCAGTACCATAAAGTTACTGGTCCGGAAATGACCATGTAACTCCACCTCCACCTGACGGATGTTCATGATCCCCTGATGGTCAGTCATGAGACATATGCCACTCTTGCTCCCAGATATCACTCCTGCTGCTGCTGTCTTGTCATTTCATTCCTTCATCAATTGATATGTACTATTAATATCTACAGAACATGTGGCCTGTGTCAGATACTATTCTAAGCATTAGAAATATAGCAAGATGAAAATGGATAATGAAAGCCCTTAAGAAGAGTGACTTCTAATAGGTGGAGATCATAAATAAAGCAAAGCAAGTGTTGATAAAAACTACAGAGGAAAATTAACTGGATGGAGAAGACAAAAGCTTTAGGAAGAAGTGCAATTTTAAAAGGCAGTAAGTGTAAACCAACTCTGGTAATTATAGCAGAACACAATTACAAACAGTAGTGGGTTGCAAAAATTCTGTTTATCACTTTGAATGGTAGTATTTGTTTTTTATTTTCCAGGAAGTATCATCCCTGGGTACCTGCGACTTTCACTTTCTTTCCCATCTCTTTGGGAAAGCTTCTTTTCCAACCTAGCTGCTCCTCTGTCTGTGCCCCTTCCCTTTGAGGCCAGTGGTTGGGGGCATTCTGGTGGTGCCACTCCAGAACTCCAGGTGTGCTTTCTCTGAATACAGGGCACAGAACTGAACCCCAGCCCCATTCCAGATGGGCTCTGGCCAACAGAATAAAAGGGAACCATCACCTCTGAAATTCTCCATTCTGTATACTGTATTTTAGATGAAGAAAACATGATGGTGCTTTTTTTTTTCTTTTTTATAAATCTACTGGGCTATTGACTCACATAGACCCTAGAGCAGTGGTGGTGAAACTATGGCACACATTTTTCTTTTAAGACAAAAGATGTTAATGTATGAGTTGTCTTTTTCTAAACTAAAACTTCAGTATTCAGATGTAATTGCAGTGTTGGCACTTTGTGGTAAATAAGTAGGTTTTGGGTTGCAGTTTGGGCACTTGCCTCTAAAAGGTTCTCCATCACTGCCCTAGCATCAAATTGCTAAGAAATTTTTGTCTCCCACCTCTTCAATCCCATATTCCTTCCACTTCATTTTATTAGCTTTAGGAAAAATTAAATGAATTAGGGAGGTTTCTGTGGGAGTGGGGACATTCAGCATAATGACCTCTAGGTATCCTGCCTGCTCCCTCTAACTCTGCCTCCTTTATTCTAGAAATTTGATTAAACGCCATCCCAATCTACAAAGCTTTAAAGTGCTGAGCTATCATGTGCCTGTTTTTCCTTTCTAATGTTTAAAAAGAAATCAATTGATGGAAGCTCATGTTTCTGTCCTTTGCTTCCCTTGCCAGAGGTGAATTCCACTGTTTCTGAGTGAGAACCGGCTGTGTGCCTGTCCTGTAGCCTCTCCTGTGACAGTGAGATCACAAAGAAAATCCACATGCTCCTCCTTGTGACAATTACACTATATGCCATGGAGGGAAAATCTGTCTCCTAGCTCATTCCAAGTTGTACTTTTTTATTCTTTGCCTCCCAAAATCAGTAGGAAAAAAATCATCAAAAAGGCACTAACAGGGTATATTAAAGCTGTTTTGAGGGTTAAAGTCCACCAGTGACTAGCTATGGAATCTTGGGCATGTCCATTAGCCACTCAATGACTCTGTTTCCTTCCTATAAAAATCAATCAAAAGCAGTAGCTGCTTTCAGGGTGCATAGTAAGAATTAAATGAGTTCACATGTATAAAGCAATTGGGGGCAAAATTGGCATATAGTGAACACCTTTTAACTTTCAGCTTCCATTTGAGGTTAAAATTAAACACATAAATTTGTAGTTTACTCCCAATTACTTGGAGACAGGCTGTGTTCTGTGTTTTCCCCAGGAGAAACAATGGGATATGACAGCTTCTGAAATCAGACAGAGAAGGAATCATATTGGGTCCCAGTTGCATGACCTTGGGAGTGATATTTATCCCAGGTAAGCATCAAGTTCCTCATCTGGTGAGCAGTGATAATAACATGTCCTTTACAGAGCTGCTGTGAGAACTGGGTGAACTATGTGTTCAGGCTAAGCATGCATATTGAATGTATGCCTTTAAATGCATGAAATGCAATGTGCATTCTCGATAAGGAAAGGTTCTTGTAAAAGAGAATTTAGTCATCCCAGAATTCCAGAAAGAGATCTTTGCTCCTAATAAAGGACCACTTCACCTCTTCTGAAGTCCAAGTCACCCAAGCAATTAGTCAAGGTGTCCTCAGTGCCCATCTTTGCATGCTTTCCCTTCCTGGCCTATGAGTCTCCCAGGCTATCCCAACCCAAGTTTATGCTTTCCTCACCCAGGGTCACCCTTTCTGCCAACAGCCCATCCACTATTCAGGACTGTCTCCTGAACATGGCTCTAAATATGGCAAGCCATAAAGTTGAGCTTCCCCAATGACTATGGACTGAGAGTCACCCTTTCTGGTTTACTAATAGTAAAGTCTTTCCTTGGACAAGACGAGTTGAAAAGCAGCAAGAAGGCAGTCTTATCAGGTAACTGAGGCAGGCTTGAAAGAATAGAAAACAGCACTCTACAGGGAACTCAATCAGTGCCAAGTATCTGGAGTGACCTGTGTGTACTGAATTCTTTGACTGCCTTAGGAAAAAACTGACATTATGCAAGTATAACCTCATATTTCTGACTGCATCAGTTTTCTTCTTTATGTCTCAGTGATAATAGGCTGTGGCTCTACCTCCAAACTAGCCAAACAAGCTTCAAGTTCACTTCTTCCACATGCCCCAATCTGTAGATGAATAAACTTAGAAATTAAGTGACTTATCATGATCACAAGGTAAGAAATGACAGCTAGGTCTAGAGCTCTGGTCTCAACTTCCAGACCATCTCTCTTTCCACCCCATCAACATCGCCTCCCCCCCACATTGTTACAGAGCTTTAGATATATGCACAATAGTGATGCATCGATGCAACCAAAACTTCTTTCTCATTTCAGGATTTCATTTCCTGCTGGTACACTTACAGAAAAGAAGGCTTACAGAGAGTACCTCTATCTTCAAAACCAAGGACAAAGTGCTTCAAACAGCTTATCCTGAAGCAAGTCATGCCCAGATGTGTTTTCACTGTACCACTGCCTTGAGTCACTCAAAAATGCCCATATCCTCCTGGTCCATTTAATTTTCCCGGTAAATATCAACCACCTTGAAGCAAGTCATTTCCTGCTGATAAGCAGCCCTTGACTAGGCTATAAGCATTCAGATTTTACCACCTGGTCATTAATCCCTAAAAATGCCCTATACTCAAAATTCCTAATCGCTTAAACAAATGGTTTCCATGGGTGATTAAACACTAGAGTGAATCAGCAGCACCTGCTGATAGCAAAAGTAGTTCTTTATGACATTAGTACTACACACCTCCCCTCGATCCCAGGGAACACTAAGTGAGCACTGAAGAGAACAGAGGGTTGAGAAAACAAGGTCTACAGGTGAGGGATGCCCACCTCTTCCCTTTCTGGCTGTCATGCTAAAAGCAGGGGAAAACACAAAGTGTGGCATGTGAGAGAGAGAGCGGTCTGGTGGGAACACACTGCAGTGTGAGAATTTAGGTTCAGTCCGTTATGATTAAAACAAATATCTTTATTGAGACATTTTAAATAAAGGTATATTTCAACAAGAAGTCTCTTAGAGAAACAGTCTAATGGTGGTCATGGCATGCAAACCTTACATTAGGTATCCCTTTCTATATTGGCTCCATGGTTTCCCTGCCCAGCTCTTTGGATTTTCTGGACACAGTAACGTCCTCCTCCCTCACAGCCACCACTCATGGAGGTACCTTAGGAGCAGCCAATCCACAGCCTGTGACTCTAGCCCCAGGTCACAGTTGATTGACCCACCTTCACCTCTGGTCTGAGGTAAGCCCATCACAGTGCGTTCTTACAGTTTTTGGAACTGAGGTCAAAGACTAAAGTCAGCATTTTTCTGTTGCACCTGCTCTAAAGCTTTGAGCACTCCAGGCTTGAGTTGCTTGCCAGTCCTCACTTCAGCAGCAGAGCTCCAGGTGTTTCTTGCTTTCTCCATTCTAGGTCCTCACCTCCACAGCCTTCCATGTATCCACAGAGTTGTTTGTTGTTTTCTCAGTGGTTAATCACCTCTTTTGCATACAAAGATCTCATGAATAATATGTCAATTCCAAAGAAATGCCTTTAATCCTGAAATTGCAGGCAAAGTCTTAGAGAAGTTGGGCAGTTGGATCTTCTGATTCTCTAGGCATAAATAACCTCTTATCTATGCTTGGGACCAGAATGCGTACAATGAAGTGCTTAGGCTTATTTTACTCCAAACCATTTCATAACTATTGAGAAGCTTCCTCTCCAAAATTTAAATTATTTCACAGTATACTGTTTCTCTCAACCTTTTAAAAGGGAAGGATTGAGAAATTCAGAATCTTAGGCATGCTTAAGTGCTCAAGCTAGGAACAGACATTTATATAAATCCTACAATGTATTACATATTCCTTTGCGTGAAAGAAAAGTGGACAAAAGTCAGGCAAGATATATAGATATATATAAAATGTATCTTGATTAGTTATGATCTCCCTGATCCCAACACCAGTTGAAGAGCTTGCAGGCTTTCAGGCCAACTCCTGAGGTATACAGTCCTTAAGAGCTACAGAAAGTACAGCTGTACCTGGACTTGGGTTAGTGATCACTTAGCCCTAAGTTGCCACATGATTTATTCAATATAGAGTGACTGCAGATCTACTGTGTGCCAGTCACTGTAACAGGCCATACTACCTCCTCCTGCTAAGAGCTGTGTCTTTTCCCCACATTACTTTCTAACTACAGCTTCCAAATTAAATGCTAGTTGTAATGTTTTCTCTCCTACTTACTTTAAGTCAACATTATTACCTTTCATGGTCCTTGGGTAGTTGGCAACAGATAGATGGTCCTCATTTGATGTCTCCTATGTCAGATGGTACCATGGCTATCCAAAACTTGACTGGACTTAGTCAAGGTTGGCAATGGTAGCTCCTCCATGGCTGAGGGTTGATGCTGGGAATCAAGTGGAGGATTTAAACCATACTTGGGATTCCTCTAGCTGGACTTCGTGGCAGCTGTGTTTCAAGAGGTAGAGTAAGAAAAGCAAACATTTCCAGAGTTTCAGGCAAAAGCCACACAGCAGTTTCTAGCCTCAGAAGTGATCATTTCTGATATAACTTGTTGACCAATAGCGAGTCACAGGAGCATCCAGATTCAAGGGGCAGACATACACATAAGGTCATGACTACTGGGAGGCTGGGTTCACTGAAAAGCCATCTTTGAAAACTTGCTACCACAATCTATCTTCTAGCCACTACTGATTGATAAGCCATCTACATGTACAATATACTCACCCCTTCAAAGACCTCCAAGTCTCATCCCGCTGTGGCGTCAGGTTGGGATTTAAAGTCCTGGATCTTATCACCTAAACTAGGTAAAGGTACTGAGGAAAAACAGGTGAAATTCCTCAGGTGCACTTTTTCAATTAGCATCAATCTCTTGTAGTTAACTATTACTGCATAACAAGTCACTCAGTGTTTAGTGGCTTCTATCAACCATTTAAGGTTGTGAAGAATTCAGAAAAGACATAATTGGGTGGCTTGTTGTACAGCATCAGCTAGAGACGCAGTGGCTCGTGGATCACTTCCAAGGTGTCTTCTCTACTTACACAGCTGATGTGTGATTCTCTCTCTCTCTCCCTCTCCCTCTCTCTCTCTCTCTCTCTCTCTCTCTCTCTCACACACACACACACACACACACACACACACAAACACACACACACACACAGAGTAAAGTTATTTCATTATAGCCAGATTTCTTGCTTGGTCACTAGCTTTCCCCAAAGGTGTTTCTAGAAGTCCTAGATCATCACTTCTTCCATATTATGTTATTGAAAGATTAGCCCAGAGACAAGAGGAAGGGACAGATTCATTTCATAGGGAAAAGGATGCATGAGGAAAGGGACTGATGTTGGCCATCCTGGAGATGAGCTACTAAGAATTCCTTATTGCCTACCAAAAATGTGGAATTCTCCTAAGAAAACATTTCTTGTCTTCCAACTCTAGTCTAAAGGTCACTTCCCTCAAGGCAGCTTTTGTTGACTCCCCTAGAATGCTTAGGTGCCATGAGTGTTCATGTAATAAGCACACATATCATAGCAACTGCTACTCCCTTTACAAAGATTACTTAACTGCATGTCTTTTTTATTCATTGCTGCTGCCAGCATTTATTTTACTCACAGCTGCATCCCTGATACCCATCGTGGTACACTGCACACAGTGTACCTCAATAAATATTTAATGGCGTATAAATGGAAGCTGCTTGTGTCTACAGCCAACCTTGCTGGAGCTGGGCTTTGGTTTCAAAGTCAGGGCTGAATCCTTGATCTTTGTAGCCCTCTTTTATTCCACTCCCCTTTAAGTTTTTCCCAAAAATAGAAGAGCAACTATTTTATATTAATAACATTGTCAGGACTTGTCCTCAACTGACTTATTTCTGGTTTAGCTCCTGTAGGCTGGAGGAGTGATTATCATGCACAGGATAGACAAGGAGAGGGGACCCAAGTTGCTCTTGAAAATGAATCTGCCATGATGCACCAGCCAGAAGCTTAATAGGGAGCATGATCTTCAATTTGCTGAGTGTAGCTCTACAAGGAGCCAGAGTGGGGCTTGTGACATGCCATTTCTCAGAGGATTTCAGCTGCTGCTACTGCTAAAAAGGAGGATTGATGGCTCTGATAAGAGATCTGAACACCATCTTCTTATAAAACAGAAGAGCTAGCGCTGTCGGGCTAATTGGCATTGCACGCATGTGTATGTGCATGCCACACATAATAATGCATATGGATTGTCCACATAGTATAAAAGAGTACATTTAGGATAAAGCAAAAGCCAGTAGAACAAAGGCAACAGGCAGTGTAATCCACTTAATGGGTCAAGGAGCTCAGTGCTGAACCACAAATGCATCATTTGATAATGGTAATGAAAAAGACAGCAATCTATATCTACAAATAGCATTAAGGTAGATTTGGTTTGGAGGCTAAACTAAGTTGATGTGAAATTTACGTGCCTGGCTGTCTCTCCTTTATGCTTGGTGAGGTGGAATGTGTTCAGTTCCTTCTTTTTTTGCCTTTGGAGAGATCTGTGAATTAGGTCTTGTTTCCAAGGTGGGTTTTCTTAATATGCGGGACTTTTTGAAATGACAATTGTTTGCCACCTAAACTTTTTGCTGAGGATGCCAGTTTTCTAAGTGGGTGACAGCACTTACTGGACCTTTGAGATATTTCATTTCCCTGCCCAATCTCTGTGGCTCTCCTGTTTGCAGAAGTTGCAGGTGGCTTGCACTATAATTTGCAGCAGGGTGTGTGTGAATTGTGACTAAGCAGCTAGCCTAGAAAATGGCTGAAATGTGTGGTGATGATTTGAACACTGCACTGTCTGAAGATCACATTACAATAGTCCTGGGCACAATGCCATTGGGGAGGTGCTTCATTTTCAACCTGAGGTCTCATACATCCTCAACAGTAATGACAGCACATTGTATTGCAAACATACAGGGTACATTAAGCCTTCTTATTCTTATGATGCCTCAGTCAATATCAGGTAGCACTTGCAAAGGGTAATGAAGTCTTCTTTCCACTTATCAGTGTTCTTACAATTATGTGCTAATTGACTTTCACTTTATGCTGCACCTGCAGAAAGGGGAACCTGATATATGGTACAGCACAAGCATATGTGAGTCAGATCCTTAGAGGAAGAAGCAATGAGCTTGTCCCTTCTGCATGTCATGGGAAGTTCCACTGTAGACTTATTCTGAACTCAAGAAGATATTACTTCAGACCAAATCAGAATTTCGGAGAGAGATGTGGGGAAATATTTTTCTTATCACCTGAAAATTTAACCTACTTTGTGAAAAATCTTGTAATAAGTTGTCATTTTATTGACTTATTCCACAAATCTAACCATTCCTCCTTACTCAACTCTTACCCTCACCCACTTTCAAATAACTCAAAGAGCCACTGCCTCATCTTCATACCCAGAGTTATGCTCTGTCTCAGACATTCATTGCTTCTAAACTGCAAAAAGCCAGTTAAATGGACACACTTCCTCTACTCTTTTTCTTCTGACTCTCCCTCAACAAGATTTCCAGAGTGAATATCTTCAAAATATTCTAAAATATGCTTTCAAACACTTCAGTGGCTTTTTTGCTACCTGCACGTACAAAGTCTACTCTCTTTCAAGGTGAAAAGTTAGACTGTACCACACCAGAAGGCCCAGCTCCTTTTTTAACTCTGAACTATGACCAACTACCCATACTTTTCACTCTCTTGGTCCTCTTGACTCAGGGTCTTGTATCTAAAAATCTCATCCTTTTTTTTCCTCCTAAATTTTTCATCCAAGATCAAGAATCACCCCATCAGAGTAGCAATCTATTCCCAGACAGAATTCTTCTGTTCTGCCTCCATCTTTGCTCTAGCATTCTATTCAAACCTCTGTCACTTACCAATTATTATTTGTCCTATGATCATTTACCATGAAGAGCCTGTCTTCTCCATCTTATTATGAGTACTTCAGTGCTTTCAAAGTTAGTTATTGTTATTGTTTATACGAAGAATGTCCTCCAAGGTACCCATGCACTCATAGGTGGGGCTTTTGGAAGGCAACTGAATCATGGAGATAATACAGCTGACTTGCTGTAGAGCTGAGGTCTGGTTGGAGTAGGTGAATCAGTGGGAATGTGACCTGAAAAGTCATAGCAAGCAGTTTTCCTCCACCAGGCCCCTCCACCCTTCCATTTCTGTGTTTAAGCCTGCTAACCGTGGGCTGAAGGACCAAGCTTCTGAAACTGTGAGCAAAAATAAACCTCTCCTCCCTTATATTGAGGGTGTCAGGCATTTTATTCCTGTAATGACAAAAGTGACCAAGATAGTTATCACCAATATAATATTTGGGTAGTTCTTTTAAATTTCTCACCTCATTAAGTCATGAATATGGAATTCTTTTATTTTTATCCCAGTAACTACTTTCAACTGGGCTGTGTGGGTTCCTTCTTTTCCCCTGAGCAGTAGCTCCATTAATAACATCACAGCAGAGTTAATCAATTTGTAATACCTGTTAGATACCAGAAAGTCTCATGACTTATTTCTTTGTCTTGTAATATTATATTTCTCAATGATGGGGGAAGAAAATGGATAATAGAGGCAAAATCTCTTCACATGGATTTCTATTACTAAAACAAAATACAAGAAGCTGAGTACTCTATCAAGGAAAAAGGTTTATTTAGCTCACAGGTTTGGAGGATGAAAGTGAAAGATCAGATAGCCTCATCAATGGGGCCTCTGGTGATGGCCCTCTGGGTGCATAGTGCAATAGGTAATGGCATCATGACAGAAGCATGTGTGAGAAAAAGATCACATGCTGATATAAAAAGCTAGGGAGCAGGGAGAAACTGTCTTGCTCTTTATATGAATAACTTCCTTTCAAAGGCACAAACCAGTGTCTCAAAAGAGCTACATTAACGCATTATGAAGGCAGAACCTCCAGTGACCTAATTACCTCTCCCTAGGCTCCATCTCTTAAAGGACCAAGGTTCAGTACCACCACTGAGGACCAAGTGTCCAGGATATAAACCTTTGGTGGACACACTACATCCAAAGCATAACAGACTTCCCTGGACTTACTCTGGTTCGACCTAGTTTCATCAAATTCTGGTGGCTGCCAGTAAATAATGTGAATGGTATTTGAGGGAAACACAGTTGGCTTTAACCCAAAACCACCTATAACTGAAGACCTCTCCCTGAAGGGTTCCACCATCTGTACACACCACAACTGTATCTCCAGGTCAAGCGGTGTTTTGTTTGCTGCAGTAGCTCACTAGCCAGAAACAGAGCTACTGTTTCTCAGGCAAACCTGGTCCTCTTCATGTGGAGCCACTAGGACTGATGAAGTCCTCTTTTTACTTTTTGAGTGCAGTGTCTGAAGAACTGCAATGAAATACAAGGTGTCCATCTTCCCCCCAAAACATGTTATACTACTGTTATGGAATAGATATAAAATACCCAAAAAGTCTCAAATGTTCATAGGTAAGGTGTCTGAAAGGTAATTGGATCATGGAGGAGCTATACTCATCGGTGAAATAATCCACTGATGATTGCATAGTTGATGTACTATGAGGTGGTTCCTGCCTGAAAGACATGGGTCACTCAGGGCATGGCCTGCAAAGATATATTCTTGTCCCCATTTCTCCCTTTCCCTCTGCTCTCTGATTGCCATTAGTTGAGCAGTTTTTCTCCACCATGCCATTTCTCCCTTGGAGCTGGCTAACCATAGACTGAACTCACTAAAATTATGAATCCAAATAAATGTCTCTTCCTTTAAGATGTAGGTGTTGGATATTTTGACCCAGAAATAGGAAAGTAACTAATACAACCATAATCTATTTAAAGCCTGCTGGTGTGGCCTATGCCAGTGGGTCTCTTATCCACATAAATCTCTAGATCTGAATTCTTTGGGAATATGTCTTCAAGCCTCAGAGAACATGTGAGAGTATAAGACTGAAAAGGATAAATGTAAACACCGCCTTAGAATTCCAGTGTTCTCATCAATATCCTTCAATCTTCATTACTCAGGAGTATCTTTCTGGTTCTGGGAGGCTGACAGCTTAGCACACTCAGTCAAGGGTATGATACTGACCTCCAAATCCTGAAGTAACCTCCAGTCTGTAACCTCCATAAGGACTTCTCTTAGAAGCCCTTTCACTTGGCTTGAGGAATGGGAAGCAATAGCTCCTCCCCTGGAACCCAGCAGTACTCACTTAGCCAAGACTCCCTGACCTTTCTGTCCTCCTCTCCTGAAAGGTGGGTGGCACTGGAAATAGGGCCAGAATTGCCCTGGCTCCCCCGATTGACCACAGGGAAGGAGTGCTGGGTGTATTTGCTAAAGAGCTGCTTTAGAAAATTGAGAAGTAGAGAATTTTAGTTCAGCTTTGGGCTCTGCCTTCAACCCTGAGGCAAGGAAAAACCCTCTTTCACACTCAGTTAAATGCCTTATATTGTAGGCATGCAGACTTCTCTTGGCCTCATCACTGTTTTCATAATGTTTTTCTAAGTCTGTGTCTCTCTACAGACACCGGAAACTCTTTAAAGGAATATATCTTCTTCATTTTCTATCTCCATTTCTTAACACAGTGCTGAGCATTTTGTGTGCAGGCAATCAATGTCTGATACATGATTTCCAAATCCCCAACAAAGCTAAAAGTCCCAGGATCATGAGATGCCAAGCTCCTCATTTTTCAGAAGAAGAAACTCAGGTCCAGGAAGGTGAGGTCATTTATCCAAGGGCACACAGCTAGTTGGGATTCCATTTCTCATACAAATTCATACACTTAATGGTGCAGCAGGAACAGACGTGAGCCAAGCATATTTGATGACTGGCCTTTGGAGAGAAGAAAGTGGGTAATGGAAAACACTGTACAAATTCCAAAAGTTAATTTTTGCAGTTGAAGCACATTTTTCATTCCCAACCTGGTAGGGTTTGCCAGTGTGTGCCGTGACTAATGTTGGCCCAGGCTAGACTTCTTGTTTTCAGGGCAGCATGACAGATTTGTTGGTATAATTTGGCTTTAATTCATTTCAGGCCAATCCTGGAAACCAGAGGCTCTGTCATGTCTCATTGCAACATTAATTTCATTTTTCTGCCTTCATTCCTTCTATTAATAAGCAGAGCCTACTCAATAGAACAATCTTAACTGCCTGCTGAGGGTAACAGCCAGAAGTATAAACAACTCCTCTCATTCAGTCTTTTATTCTTTTCCGAGAAAAATAGCATTTTTGTTCTCTTATCTCTTGAGTGGATCCAAGACTGATAAACTCATCCCACACAGCTTTCATGTTTCTTGAAGCAGAGCTTCCAAGGCAGATAGGCCAAGGAGGGGTGATTCCTATTGTGCCATCTGATGAACTCCGATGACTCGGGCTTAATAAAATATTTACTCTGGGCCACAGTCATGCCCACATTTAACTCCACCTATTTAGAGCAGACAGCATTGTAACTGAGATATTATCTTGGAAGATTTTTCTTTCTTCTGTTTTATCTGCAGCTCATTTATTCAGAACTCCCAAAATGAGGATGAAAAATAAGAGAAATAGAAAGTTGAAGTCTTTCGGACACTCAGAATCTGCCACATGTGACTGGTTCCATAGGGGCACTCTGGATAACACTAAATAGAGAATGGTTTTCTGAAATAGATCTTTCAGAAGGAACGTTTCATGAGTCAAAAGACTCTTGTCATGGATACCTCTCTGTATTATTCACATTTATCTGTTGTGTAAGACCCCATCTAAAAATCTACCTCCACTTAAAAACTGCCTTTGGTACAGAAATAGAAGCCACAACCCTTTATTCCTTCATGAGTCTTGTGCCCAACCACAAACCAATTGTCATGGCCATGGAAACTTAGAATACTGACAGGAAAGTCTGTACTGTGTGCCCACATTCATTCTTGTGAAGGAGAAAGGAATATGCAGTACCATGAATGGCAGAGACATGGAGAGCAGGGAGGGTGTACTCCATGAGGAAAGGAAGGTATAAGACATCTATCCATCAATAAAGACCCTAACATTATGGTTTGAATTGAGAAGTGCCCTCTCTGTGCACTTCAAACCCTCATAGGCAGCACTTTTGAAAGGTAATTCAATCATAGGAGTTCCATACTCACCAGTGGATTTATCCATTAATGAATTCAATAGCTTAATATGCTATTAGGAGGTTAGGCCTTGTCAGGAGATAGGGTTCAC